TCCAGTTTAATACTATTTGCATTGAAATTAATGGTCTTTCAATATCAGTTTATGAGATTGTGATTTTCCGAAGGGCATCTGGTGAGAACAGAAGTCACCCTTGGCATATATCCAGCACAATATTTTTACATTGACTATATTCCTTAGTAACTAGGGGTTTTGGGGTTTGTTTGTTTTTTGACCAAGGAAAATACAGTAATGGAAAAGGAAAAAAGACAAAGGAGAAAACAATGTTATAACCCCAAATGAATGCCAGGCCTGCTAGTTCTTATAATTTGTTTCCAAGAAAAAATTAGAGCAGCCTTTCAGCCTCCAGATAAGACTACAACACCCATCTCCTAAACTAGCACACTAGTCCCAATCTTGAGAGGAATGTGAGGGAGAAGGCTGTTATGGAGACCGCTAACACGAACATGGAAATATGGTCAGTTGCCAAATTGATGAACCCTTTGCCCTAGCCTCAGCATGTGACTTTCACATTTGCATGTAATATTATGAAGACCCTTTCTTATCAGAGAGAAATCATCTACTGAGAAAAGAGAGATCCATTTGCTCCTGTAGCAAATTCTAAATCCCCAGGTAGTCTTTGTTTCTTTATTGTTTTAATGTGCATGTGCAGAAAATGTGATAACATTCTGGATGTAATGTACAGTCTAGTTCATTCGTGTTTCTGAAATTAAACTGTCAAGAGCTATCTTCCCTGGTAGCATTTTAATGACTAATATTTTTGTCATAACGGTTTGTTAATGCCAATGAATAAAATAAAAGACTATAGTGGTGCAGACAACACCGATGGAAAATAAAATTGGAAATATTATAACCCCTGCTTTTTTTTATCAGAGTATCAGTATTTTGCAGCAGCAAGTATCTGGGAATTAGTGTTCAAGTGTAAGGTGAAAGATAAGAAGCCTCTCCAATATTATCATGGTTCCCACTCTTTGATTCTGCTTCCCATAATTATAGTATCATGCCTAAAGCATTCTAAAATAGTAACTTACACCAAGATGTTTCAAACTGTGTTTCACAGAACTCCATAAAAACTTGATGAGACTAAAGGCAAAGGAAACCTCAATCCACACAGACAGTTTTCGATCATTAGAGCTTTGCCTCTTGAGCCTGGATCCCGGGATTTTTTAATTTTTTAATAAACAGGTTTTACAGCCTGAAAAAGTTTGAAAACTCTAATTAGACAACTGCTGCCAAGCATCACCTGTGCTTCCTTTCCTGTAATTTGCTAACAAAGCCCCATTTCAAATAAGACATAGGGCTTGCACCAATAAAAAACATTTTCTTTGGGGAAGATTAAAGATCTGTCAAAATCTATTTTGCTTATTCTCGTGACTAAAAATGTAGTACAAGGTTTTACCAATGAAGTGCCCCTTTCACGCCTTCCTGTTATAACTGCAATCAAAGAGGAGAGTTAATAGTCAATAATCACCAATCTGCTCTGTGATTTATTTTGTACCACCCCAAAAAGCTCTTGAATTTACATATTTATTTAAGCCTAATAATACCTTTTCTGCACATATTCAGATCATCATTCCAAAGCAATTTAAGCTCCGAGTTTCAGATTGACAGTGATGTCAGTATTAATTAATTTCCAAACTAGGTAGCTATCATCTTAAAAATAAACCCCAACTTATTTTAATTACACATCCTTATTAATAATTTGTATATAATACAACTCTTTCCATTTGCAGTAGCTCACACTTTAATCTGCTAGTGGATTTAAACTGTCTTTAAAACAGAATTAAAAGAACAAGTTTCAAAATCAATTTTGTTGCTTTAGGAAATAGGACTGCGTTCCACGATAACCTGATTCTTCTCTTTCAAGCAGAAACAGTTATACCTGAAGATTATCTGGTTGATCCACTGGCTACAAAGCATTACAGCATCGATCCCTCGGATTCAGCATTTAATTGCATGGGATCATTGTACTCTATGAGACAGAGTTCTGGAGAGGGACGGCACGGTGGAGGGTCCTCTTCCTCCTGCAGTCATCGCTCTGCTCAAGTGGCTTCGGGAGGCCCATCAACCGCTACCCTGAGGCATCAAACATCAAGCCCAACCAGAAACGGAACCATTCTGGAAGGAAACAGAAATGGTAACACAACACTTTCCCCTTTCTCCTAATGATTTTATCACCTTGCTGATTCCTGTAGTCTTTATTTCAAACCTCTTCTTGAGAAAGCAATTGCGTATACAGTAATTGCAATCAGATAACAGTAGGATTGTGGCAACAAACCCCACCCCAAGCTTTGTGCAATAACTGTGTAAGGATGTAAACTCTGTGCAAAGCCTGCAGACATGCAGGGCTTATTCGTGCAGTCAAATGCACTAAAGTCCATAGAAGTTAAGTTTAGTGCTGGGACATAAACCCGCACAAATTACAGTAACCGTATAAGACACAATTATGACAGTAACTTTAGATTTCCCATTAAATTCTCTTGACTGCTCTGATGAAAACAATGACTTAGGACTCTAATTTAACTCCTTTTGTATTTTATGTAATAGTGGGACATTTCTGAAGTTTGCATATTATTTCTTTTTTATAAACCAGATATCATCAAGATGTTATTTTATAAAGTCGCTAGACAGTACTGAATGTAGTCCCATCCATTTAGGCTCTGTTCTGAGGTTGGAAAAGATAGAGTAGGAATCTCATACCTGGGAGCTACTAAAGATGCCTGATGGGGTCAGTTAAACATAATAAGACATAGATTATTGATATACCTATTTAACTTCCCTGCAGGTCCATCCCCCCCTTTAATCCACCACCACCCCGCACCTTAATCCCCCCCGCACCTTAATCTTATTATGGAAGAAAATTGTAAATAAGAACATTTAAAAGTTCAGACATGGGATTCAGATATCAACTATCATTTGATAATAATAAGCAACTTTTTTTCAAAATGAAGAAAAATTGGATCCTACTGAATAAATATAGTGCCCCCCCCCAGTCTACCTGTACAATAGAATGGGGAATCTCAGAGATTGATGTGATCTATTATACTAGTTGAGGCTAATGGGGCGAATGAAATCCCTTCTGCTATTTAGAGTACATGAAGGAAACTTATTAAAATAGGTAAAGGTAAAGGTTCCCCACACACATATGTGCTAGTTGTTCTCGACTCTAGGGGGCGGTGCTCACCTCTGTTTCAAAGCTGAAGAGCCAGCGCTGTCCAAAGATGTCTCTGTGGTCATGTGGCTGGCATGACTAAACGCCGAAGGCGCATGGAATGCTGTTACCTTCCCACCAAAGGTGGCCCCTATTTTTCTATTTGCATTTTTACGTGCTTTTGAACTGCTAGGTTGGCAG